GAGTCTGGGTATATAAACCCAGGCTCAGAAGAATAAAGATCAATACGCAACTAGACACCATCAAAGTCAAGTGTATTCGTTCACCCACAGTAAAGCATGGTGGAGGGTGTGTGATGGTTTGGGCCTGTATGTCTCTCTCTGGAGTGGGAAAACTAACTTTTATTTAAAGAACCATGGATAAGAATATGTATTTTGAAGCAAAATCATATCCAAAGTGCTGAATATCTAGCCCTGAAAGAGGATTTTACATTTGATCAAGACAACGACCCTAAGCACACATCGGGTGTCGTTCAGTCTTGGCTAGTATGGAACTGCCCGCATAATCTCAAACCGCCAGTACAGTCCCCGGATCTTAATCTTAATAATTGAAAATTTGTGGGCCATTTTAGACACCAATATCAGGTCCCGGAATATTTCCAACAAAAATGAGTTAAAAACGGCATTAGTCGAGGAATGGGGGAAAATCCGGCCCGAAACAACAACAAAATTGGTGGCCTCAATGCTTGCAAGACTTAAGGCTGTATTAGACCAACAAGGGGGTCATACAAAATATTAAATTTAAAAAAAACTAGGCATAATTTTGAAATTACTGTTTAAAATAAGTAATGGGTCAAATAAGCTGTGATATTGAATGAATGAGTTGTTTTAGTTTTTGTTATTTTCTTACTGTTATTTTTTTAAATATGAATAAAAAAGTTATGTTTTCCATTAATTTAATATTGAAATAACAATTCTACGTTTGTATTGTATTGTATTTTTGTATTGGGTACAAAGTAATGTAAAGTATAAATATACCATCTCACTCTTAAATCATGCATCGATATTTCATAAATTTTAATGTGGACAACAATAAATAACAAACAAGTTAGAAAGCTCTAGTGGAGACTGCCCGACTACGAGATCCCCTGCACACACACAGCCATACGCACGCACGCATAAACACGCATGGGATTATGAATATAACATAAATATGAATGTATTTGCTAAATCACAAGTCTTTAGTATTTGAAATACGCATTTTACAAATGTGAAGGCGAGGGGTGAATTAGGAATGCAAAACTCGATACGCGCGTGGTAAAGACAGAAAAAAAATGCAAGTCTCTAGCTGTTATATCTGAGATCGACGCGTTCAAGCATACGGACAGACGGACAGAGCTAAATCGACTCAGCTCGTCGCCCTGATCAAGAATATATATACTTTATGGGGTCTGCGATGACTCCTTCTGCCTGTTACATACATTTAACAAAACCATTATACCCCGATTTCCCATTTTAAGGGCATAAAAACACCTCTACTCTGAGTTTTCTCATGTTCATTGTAAGAGATTATTCTATTTAGAGCGCAAACGACGGTCGAGAAATAAATTCCTAAAAATTGTTCCTCAGCTCGCAGAGTGAGAAGTTCGGACTTAAACTGTTTCGCAGAGCCACATATTTATTTCTTTATGCATCAGCTGGAAATATACATCTTACATGCATATATGTATGCATAGCATATTTCTTGGCTGCTGCAGGCTGCATTAAAAGTTGGTCATTCACATTTTTGAGAGATGGGTTCGGGGCGTGGCGAGGAGTGAATGAGTGCAGGGGACAGCAGCAGCAGCGGGAGTGGCAGTGGCAATGGCAGCGGCAGAGGCAGAAGCAGCGTTGTGTTTGATTGCCCTGCCGTTTGTCAGCCGGCATTCATACACTCGATTCAAAAATTCATTCAATTCAATTGAAAAATTGCGTTGAATATTTGACGTATGGCATGCCAACTGGGTGGAGCGTGCGGGGGGCAGGACTTAGGGTCACATCAGCTGTCACTGGCAGGCACTGAACGACATAGGCCGGGGCAGAGGCGGGAACTTTGACGTGGGCGTGGGCAACGTCTACATCGTCGTCATTGCTGGTAGCCAGCAAAGCGTTAAAAATGACTGTCATAAATTAATGAGCGACGCCCGATTAAGTGACGCATTGAAATTGAATTTTGCTGAATTGCATTCATTATTCATTTAAGGATACTTCTCAGTATCTCAGCAAATTCTCTCCTCCTGCCATTCTCTTTCTCTCTCTCTCTCTTTCTCATACTTTCTCTTTATCTCTCTCTGCATCACCTTTGCTCAGCCCAACGCACAAGGCAAAGTTAATTGCACGTAAAAAGTGCACCGAGCAGTTAAATGATAAAAAGAAACACAAAAACAACTAACTGACCGGCAACAATGCAAGTCAAGCGTCGATTCCCTATCGCCTGCACCTCGAGCTCCAGTTACGAAATATCAAATCCCAATCTAGGCATAAACGTGACAATAATATGAATCAGTAGATTACGTCGCCGTCGCTACCCATGTCCATGCCCATGTCGTTGTCCATGCCGATGGCGAGTTCCAGTTGGCAGTGTCAGTGTCAGATAGCCGTCGTCAGTCTCATTCTCAGCTTCAGTCTCCGCATCCGTCGCGACGAACTGCCAACAGCGAGCAGCATGTTGCCATTTAACTTAATGCCACGCCCGGCGAAACGCTTTGATTCTGGTATTAGAGAGCGCGTCCTGCAATTGCCTGTGGTCGTTGGTCGCTGGACCGCTGGAATGATTCCAATGGCTACTGCGAAAACGTGCCGATTCTCCAGATAATGTAAGTAATTGTTTCGCCAGCTGCTATCAAAACATTTCAACAGCTAATTAGGGATTCGTGACAAAGTCGCGGCACAGGCAATCCCCGACAGCAGCAGCCAGAGCTCTCACATTGAATTAGCAACACGAATTGTCATTCTTTTAGGTCAGCCACTCCGTTAGGCTTTTATAATCGACGTGCTGGGCTCAATCATATGTAGAGCGCCAATTGTCAAGCATTCTCTATATCGTAAGCTTCTTTTGGACGGAGCATAAGGGTATCATTAGTCATCACTCATCAGTAATCAGTCGGACAACGGTAAAAAACAAGCTGCAAATGGAAAACTTTGAACCACAGAGACTCTTGACGCTATCAAAAATACACCGCCTTCTTCTGGTGCTTTGCGGTGGCTTACCTTACAAGGCGCTGAGGCGGGTTGCACAGGTTAGTTGGTGCGAGTAAGAAGTTAGGTTACATTCCGAAAATAATCTAGATTACCCTACCTGCCTAGGTGTTTTGGGCGAATACCTCGTTATCCCTGCTGTCCTTTAGATTTCACCCGCGTGCCTTAGCGCTTCGGGGCCGTCTTGCACCACAAGCCTGGGTAGCGTGGCCATTCCGGCTTAGCTCTCCTCATCCCGTCTAGTACACTACCCTGAGAAAATTTTTTTTTTTTTAAGAAGAGCCAAAACCGCGGTTCAGAGACGCGGCGAGCCGAAAAAGCCCGGAGGTCGGAGGGAAGACGGCAACAGCTCCCCAGTCGAGGTGGACAATCCAGATGAAACACCCTTACCACACCGGCCCAGACCATCTTACCGGACGCTAGCAGACGCTGGGGAGAAGGCCACAACAGCCTCGATAGGGGCTAAGCGACGAGATACTAGAGCTAGACGGGCCACTGGCGGAAGGAGCACCACCACCTCTGCGTCCACTCTCAAAAGAAGTGAATTTGTGCAAGGAACTCCAACCCTTAGGACCCACCAAAGGCAATGTCGACAGCGGGATGCTGGGTCGCCACGTCCGAGGGTTGGCTCAAGACCAAGTGGACCACGTAAGGTAACGGGGCTCAGCAGGGCAGAGCAGTGAGAGAAAGAGAGTCACAGCAGTGAGGCAGATCCTAGCCAGAAACGCAGATATTGAAATTCTGAAAACAGTGTTGTTGCAAACCGTCTTACATGACAGCCACATAAGTGATAACTTTCTTTTTAGCAGTTAAGGTTATTAGTAGTTAGTAGTTAGGTAATAAGTTTCATTGTAGGTTGAGTTAGTACCATTTAAGAGAAAAACAAATGAAGTAATTATTAGTGAAGTATGTGAGCTAGATGATCAAATTATCTCTTTATACCCTGAACCCATTTTCAATGGGAAATCAGGGTATAATGGTTTTGTTGAAATGTATGTAACAGGGAGAAGGAGGCGTGGCAGACCCCACAAAGTATATATATTCTTAATCAGGGCGACGAGCTGAGTCGATTTAGCTCTGTCCGTCTGTCAGTATGTTTAAACGCGTCTATCTCAGAAGATATGAGAGCTAGAGACTTGAAACTAGTTTTG